GTCCGTCCGTCTGTCCATGTATTCTTGTGAACAAAATGCAGGTCGCATTTATTATCCGATTGAGATGAAATCTTCCAAACAATATTTTTTTGGCCCAAGGACGAACCCTGTTGAAATTGGTGAGAATCGGATCAAATTTAGATATAGCTCCCATATATATCTTCTTCCGATTTCGGGTTAAATGAGCACCAAATGTTCACTATCAGTCCAAATTACCTGCATTTTGGCACACCCAACCGAGTTCGGCCTAGAAGCAAGTATATCAAATTTGGAGAAAATCGGTTCAGATATAGCTATAGCTCCCATATATATCTTTCATCCGATTTGATCTTTAAGTCCCTAACATTCTTACTATGCACTCCACAACCGTGATATTTGGTACCAGGTATTAGATGAAGCACAGAAATAGCTGTTTTAAATTTTATCGAAATCGGTTCAGATTTGGATATAGCTCCCATATATATCTTCATCCGATTTCGGGTTAATTGACCACCAAATGGCCAATATCAGCCCAAATGGCCCGAATTTTGGCACATATGACCGAGATTAGCCTTAAAGCAAATACAACAAATTTGGAGAAAATCGGTTCAGAAACAGCTATAGCTCCCATATATATGTTTTATCCGATTTGTTTAAGCCTCTCACATTCGTAATATGCACTCCACAAGAATGATATTTGGTACCAGATATAAGATACAGCCCAGAAATAGCTGTTTGTAATTTTATCGAAATCGGTTCAGATTTGGATATAGCTCCCATATATATCTTCATCCGATTTCGGGTTAATTGTGCACCAAATGGCCGATATAAGTCCAAATGGACTGAATTTTAGTACATCGGACCAAATTCAGCCTAGAAGCAAGTATATCAAATTTAGTGAAAATCGGTTCAGATATAGATATAGCAACCATATATATGTTTCATCGATTTAGTGTTTTAGTCCCATACATTCGTAATATTCACTCCACAACCGTGATATTTGGTACCAGGTATTAGATGGAGCACAGGAACAGCTGTTTTAAATTTTATCGAAATCGGTTCAGATTTGGATATAGCTCCCATATATATCTTCGTCCGATTTCGGGTTAAATGTGCACTAAATGGTCAATATCAGCCCAAATCACCTGAATTTTCGTACATAAGACCGAATTCAGTCTAGAAGCTAATACGTAAAATTTGGAGAAACCCGGTTCAGAGATAGCTATAGAATTAGATAGAATTAGATAGATTTTGATTTTGTACCAAATATCTCATAGAGCTCTGAAATGCCCTGTATAAACCTTTTTACGAGAGCTCTACTAAATATGCATAGTGGTGTAGGGTATCATATAGCTTTCCTTACTGGTTTATTTTAAAATAATTAAATTTTGGCTAGTAGTCGATAGCATAACCATTATTTTTGATAGCAGCTGCACACCTACGAGGCATTGAATCTATAACACGCTCAATTTGATCCTTGGGTGTGCTTTCCCAGGCACCCCGAATTCTTTAGAAAATGTTGTGCTTATTTATTTCCGAATCTCTCTTGATCTTCCTATCTACGATACTCCAAAGGCTTTCTAAGGAGTTTAGGTCAGGTGATTGTGCCGGCCATAACAAAACATGAATTTTTGACTCCCGCAACCAATATTTGACAAGTTTTGATACAAGTTTGGGATCATTGTCATGCTGAAACACACAAATCAGCCCAATATTTTACTCAGCGTAAGGGAACAACGTGATGTCCAACACATCTTTGTAAACAAACGGATCCACAACTTCCTTTATTTTATGGATAGACCCAAGTCCATAGAAAGAAAAATAGCGCCACGCCATTTTTGACCCTCCCCCATGCTTCACTGTACCTTTGCAACACTGCGGCTTGAGTCCTTCATTTTTTGGTCTTCTCACCGTAAAATTTTTCACGTCTGAGCCTTTAATATTAAACGTAGACTCATCCCAGAAATAATGTTTTTTCCATTGAGCTTGATTCCACTTAATATTATCGTTTCCGAAATCCTTTTTGATTTTTTCAGATATAAATGGTTTTTTGATGTCTTACGGGCACGCAGACCAGCTGCCACTACTCGTCTACGCACTGATCTCGAGCTTATATCCAATGATTGCTCTCTCACCAATCCTGTTGAACTCTTAAATGGTTGTTTTTTATTTCTCTCACAATTTGTGGATCAGTATGGGCTGAAGTTCTTCACGGCCTTCATGGACTGTTACTACTGATCCAGTTTCAAAAAACCGACTTAGTGCACAGACATAATTATGAAATCACATAAATATTTATGAAATATTTCTCGGAAATCATTTTCTGTGATATGTTGTTTTGATAATCACTGATAATTTGCTGTTTTATTCAGGTACAGTATTTGCTTCTAGCCATTTTAAAATTTTTTTTGGCAGTACTTAAAAAACGAAAAGAAAAACACATACTGTTGTAAAAAACTTCTCAAAAAGGATTTATGACAAGCGAAATTGTCGAAGGAAGCAAAAAGCGATAAATATCACAGTAAAAACCACTGAAATTGCAGCGGTTATATGAATGTACAACAGAGTTGCTTTTGTTTTGTCCAAGCCAAAATCGGGTTAATTGACTTTACCAAACATAATTTTTTATATAAAAATGAATTTTGGTTTTATGTTTTAGGTTTTTAAAAAGTGAATAAAGTACCTAATTTAAAACAAGAAAAACTTTCTCATTTTCTTAATTTTTGAAAAAGTTACAGGGCATTCATTCTCCTTGTAATTTCAGTTGCTTTAGTTTTGGCCACCAGTGTATATCCAAATCATAAAATTTGAGTCATGTATTGCTAAGCTGAATCTAACATCTGGTACTAAATATCATTTTGTGGGGTGTATATTACGAAAGTGAGGGACTTAAACCCCAAATCGGATGAAACATATATATGGAAGCTATAGCTATATCTGAACCGATTTCCACCAAATTTAAAGTACTTATTTCTATACTAAATTCCGTCGGAAGTGCCAAAATTCACACCATTTGGACTGATATTAGCCATATGGTGCACAAGAAATCTAAAGTCGGATGAAGATATAAATGGGAGCTATATCCAAATCTGAACCGAACTTGATAAAATTTGATCTATGAATTGCTAGGTTGTATCTGATATCTGGTGCTAAATATCAGTCTTGTGGAGTGCGATTTTCACAAATTTCGATAGGGTTCGTCCTTGAGCTAAACAAATGTTATTTAGAAAATTTCATCGCAATCGAATAATAAATGCGACCTGCATATTGTTTATGAAAGTACATGTGATTCTATGCTGATCATCAAAAGGAACTATGGGTCTATCTCGTTTCCTTCTCCATGTTACAAACAAATGCAAAGACATAATACCCTTACCACTATGTGGTGTAGGGTATAAAAATGGCTGGCAATTAAGCCTTCCTATCTGAAATAGACCAGAACCTTATCAGCATATTTAAAAAAAAAAACATTTAAAAGATTTTTAAAAAATCATGGCTATGGTGTTCCTCCCTTAAATCTCTGTCATTGTCTTAAATTGGATCATCAGTCAAAGTTAAAGGTGGGGAAGGTAAACTCACCACTAATTTTTAAAGAGACTGCATTATTTTTATATATTTTAGAAACGCAAGGGAAACTGATTTAAAAAAAAAAACAACAAAAACAAAAAACAAACAAAGCAGAGAACTAAATCGAAGTACGTTCACCGCGAAATCAGTTGACTATTTTCACATTTTTTTAAATTAAATAAAAGTTTAAATTAAATAATTATGAAAGATGACATTCCATACTGAAATACAATATTAAAATTTTAAGAACTTCTCGATGTTATTTTTTTAAACCACATATACTTTGCGGATATGGCGAAAATACGGTCACATAAAGACAATTTTTCTCCTTCTTCTTGCGAAAAAGTGAAATATTTCTCCACTTTGCCACTGTGTAATTGGAAAACTAAACAACGTAAGACTTTGAAATTTTCGGTACTGAAGTAGAATTTAGTGTTCTATAATAGTTTGAGAACATTTATTTTTCAATTTATCTCCGTGTTTTGTGATTTCACCTCTCTGTGCGTCGGCTCCGCGCTAGTGATCAATTTGCAGTATGGTACTAGTGGAGGGAAATCCGTTGAAACTGCTCTCTCCACAATGAGACTTTTGAGACTTTTTAAATGCCTGTAGCAATGAGAAACTTGAATTTTACAAACGATTCGTTTCGAGTTGAACTGGTAAACTGTAAGCAGGATAATCAATTCCAGCATTGAAGAAACAGTTGGCAGTTGAATTACAGAGAGCTTAAAAATTCTTACAGGGAAAATAGTCAAAATTAAAATGCGGGAAGGTAGTAACCAAAACCAAGTATCGCTAAGTCGTACCCATAGCGATAGTGCTGTCAACTTTAATTCAGATATTTCATTCATAATTTTGCGTTTAAATTTTACCGATTTTTGTGGGCAACCTAAAAAATGACTTAGAAAGTCCCACTACAACGTTTGGCCTGTTACAGAACCTGAATGAATCTACATAAAGCTAAAATCAGTTATCGTAATAAAAACGTTTACATTCTTCCAGTTCTGGAACAGAGCTCTTGTGTACTATCAATAGAACAATATTTGTGGAATTATAAACCACAAATATTGTTCTGCTGATAGTACACGTCATTCTCTTGTTAAGGAAATGTCTTTTCCTCAAATATTTTAAAAATGTAATCTATTTCGATTAATGAAACAATATTCTATTGAACGACGTTTGAAAATTTATTTGAATATTAAAACCTAATATGAATTTGAGAAAGCTTTCACAAATATACGATAATAAGTATTTTGCAGTAAATCGATTGTTTACGCATTCGACGCCGCAACTCATAGATAATACTACACTTTGTGGCCATTGCACCAGGCCAGTGGTCTGAACACTTAATCAGTATTGGTCGGCAATAAAAAGGGAAGTTAATTTAATTAATAACCAAATGTGTATTGGCAGCTAATCGAATGCGAATTGATATTAATATTTATCTATCTTACCCGAATGTCTGCCAGATATCAAAACAGGTGACGTTCATCCAAGAAAAGGCGGCCATCAGACAGAAATAAATAAAGAATCCTATTAAGAAAAAAAAAACAACAACAAACCAATATTTTTTGTTATTTTTTGAAACTTAGAATGCAGATAACTTAGAGTGCAGTTTCATGAACTGATCTGACTCAGTGCATTCAAAGGTGAAAGAGTTATAAACATTAAGGTTGTCTGAATTCAAGTTCCTTCTTCTCTTAAATACGAACAACTTACCCGATGCAAAACAAACCGTATCGTTCGGAGTTGGCATCAGTTGACCCAGAGCTATTCCCAGATAGGCTGTAAACAGGCTGCTAACGAGACAAATCAATATTTTGCCAGGCAGATTCCTGAGTCGGGCAATCGAGAGGTAGACCACCAACGTCGCCGCATAGAATCCGCACGATATCAAGAGGCCAATGGTGTACAGTCTAAAGCGTATCCGATCATTGCCCACAACTTTCGAATCGAAGCAAAGAAATGTGTACAACTAATGTAGGGTTTTTATTCGTATCAAAATCACAAGAATCCGATAGTCATGAGGTGTGTGTATGTGTGTTTACCTTTTGGTCGGCCCACGTTGCATTGCGGATCTTCTCCACGCAGTACTGATTGTTGGTGTAGTGTTTCTTTGTGGACGCCACCAGGAGCGAGCCATCCCGTTCGCTAATAGTATGGGCTTCATCGGCGTACGCTTCGGGGTCCAAGCGATACTTTCGACAGTCTAAGCTGCGCAATACGCCAAATACTGAAAGTATAGAAATAGAATAGAAAATTGTGACTATCTGAAGAATATCACACCATGTCAAGTTGCAGATGCAAAGACATGTCAAGTTGCAGATGTTACAAATACAACTAATTGCCTTTGCAACTGTTGCCCTTCTTCCAGAAATAGTTAGAGTGGCTATCAGAATACGCCAAGAATCAAAACCTTCCACCGTTAGGTTTATTTGGATTTATTTGTGACATAAGTCACCCTCTATCCTATAGCCAACCTCATATCAAAATGTATAAGTTCAGCTCTATTCGTTCACTTATATCAAATTTAGTACTTTTCGTACACTTTATAGTTCAAATCCAATTTCACCTCCTTACTTTATTATATCTTTCACTTTTCCTACACAAAATTTAGTATCACTTTCCAAATTAGTCTCCCTATTCACACGCTCCGCAGTGATTCTAATACCAGAATTTATAATTCCAGTTTAGTACTGTTCGTGCACCTCTTGTATGCACTTCCAGAACGACCTTATTCTGTATTAAAATTTCACCTTCGCTCATTTATTCAACCAAATCCATATTGTACAAAATTTAGTACCATTTAGTATAGTTCTTACACTAAGTACACATTACCGAAACTACATCCGTATATCAACCCTACTTACCCTCATTCTTCCTAGCATGAACAGTTGCCGACTCCCCTAGTGGATTTCTTTGCACAAACCTCTTCCAACTGAGACCGCTGACAATGTAGGTGCGACTCATACAAAGGCTGTATACAATTTCAATTTACATTTACACAACGATGGCCTAGGCTGTCATACGAATCCGAAATCTACTGACAATGTAAGCGAATGTTGGATGGGTCAAAATCAAACGATATTGTAAGCGAAGTTTGGATGGATCTCAGTGATAGTTGTCTTTAACAGCAGACATTAACTTACCGAAAATTGCAATATGTAACAGTTTAAATACCTTAAAGAGGAAGAGGAAGCGGAAGCTGTGTTATTAAACAATAAGTTAATAATAGGTGTGTCTGGTTGCTCTAAAATTTGTAACAATTTTTACAAATTGTTACTGGAAGTCGTCTGTTAACCCGAAAGTTCTGCAAAAGAGAGCAGCTGGAGAGAGAAATTTTTACAGTTCTATCTGTGAGAGTTTGCAAATTCTTGCTCGACAATTTTTTTTGCAATCACTTGCAACTCTTCTTCTTCTCATTCATCGACATTCAATCAGATGTTTTCGATTGTTTTGTTTATTTATTTTTGTGCTTTCAATTTGAAAATATTTTTTGGAATAAGCAAGACTAATTGTTTTCGGAGTACAACTTTACAAAATATGAAAAACGTTAATATTAATATGTAATGAGAAAATAAAAGGCAATTTCCAATATTTTTAGACAAACGCCATTAGCAACACATTGAAAGGATTTCGGGGAACACATCAAATATATATTTCTTTTTTACTCATATTTTTACTTTATTGCAAATTTCCTTTTTATTTTTAAAACTCAAAATTGGACTCAAGGACAAATTGGTTTGTTTTGACAAATCGGCTGATTAGTTGCAATCTTCTGCAAGAATACCGTCTGTTTACTTTTCGCATTTCTTTTGCAAAAGAGAATAAAACTACCTTACTCTCTCAGAAAGATGTTGCTGGACAATTCCTGCAGGAAAAGTAACCGGACACACCTTATATAAAAGAGTATTGTACAGGGTGAGATGAAAAACTGCAACAAAGTCAAACGCCATAATTTTTATTTATTTTTTTTAATTTTATTGAATGAAAGCAAAATATTTCGGAAATAGCGTTAAATTTTAGAATAAGTTTAGATTTGTTCGAATTGCACACCTTTGGAACGAATTATGACCTTCAAACGGCCAATGAAACCGTCACACGCTGACCGAATTTTGCTCTGCGGTATTTCGGCCCATTCCCGGCGAAGCGCTTGCTTGAGGCGATTGACACTGGTATTTTTTAGTGCCAACCTTGCCTTCCAAAAAAACTCCAGACACATAGGTCCAACGGATTGGTATCCGGAGATTTTGGTGGCAATTGTCCGCTGGAAATGAAGCGAGGAACCTCATTTTGTAACCATTCTTGGGTGGCGCGTGCTGAGTGCGATGTCGCTGAGTCCTGTTGCTATATCTAAGGTCTGCGGCCAAAATGTTTGCTTGCCCAAGGCTTAATCAATTGCAATCAATCGGAATCGAATGCGATAATAAGATGTGATAGTCTTTCAAGAAATTGGAAATTTCATGGATGATCTAAACACATCTAAATTCGCCACCACTTTACCAGAGAATTGGTTAAAGTCAATTATATAAAGATATCCTGTATAAAACAGGAGATATGGTGGCAGATATAATGACCAAAGCATCGACAGCTTCAAAGCATATCCACTGTTGCAGTTTACTTGAAATCAAAGATCAATCTAGTGGACTCTCATATGTCAGTCTCTGCAGATTTTGAACCATTTTCAAGCTTCGAGAATCATTTTCGACATTAGGAACTTCAGTGTTTCTATTCCCAATTTATGATCCAATGGTCTGTAATGTAGCAATTTAGTTTCGTATTGGATTAGTCATACGACAATTGTAGGTCCACGATTTCAATTAAGCCCCATACATCAGAGTTGGTTCAATTAGGAAGGAAGGCATAGGTAACGCCTTGTGGTGCACAAGTTCAATCAAATGTACAATTCAATTTGATAAGTCTAGTTGCCTGCAACCAAAATTCTAAACAAAATTCCACTTCTGTCCCTTTCAAAACCAGTAAAGTTTTTCTTGAGCTATGAACGTAGTAACTAACATCTCTTTGTTTTATATATATTTACGACTATTTCCGAAGAGGATATATAAATGTCAAATTAGGGTTCATTTGGTTGAAGAACGTAAGGAGATAACATCATAATCGAGTATCAATATATGCCATTTTTAACATCAATCATTTTGGTAATAATATAACAAGTTAAACAGATTCAACCGGTTTTGTGACAGAGGTATACCCTCAAATCTATGTCCTTTTATTAAAATATATTTTGACTTGGGTTACGACTTTTTAAATTATTGACCCTTTATCGGGATGATACCGAAGGTGTGGACCTTTATTTTCCATTTCGCATCTGACATAAGTCTAATATAAATATTACTATTATTATGTCCACCTTTTTTAAGGTAGTTGTGCATATTTTTTTTTTTTTTTTCAAAAATTTTACCTTGCATCGCACAGTGGTCGAGGTCGTATGGGAACAGCGGCCAAAAATACTTTCAGTGCAGATATCAATATGAATCTTTGGTTATGGTACCTTGATGGGATAAAAATAAAAAATGTGACAAAATGGATATGGTCGATGCATGTTTTGGCATTGTCCCCTTACAACGTACCTCCCGAATAAGGGTTATTTGCCCAATTCTTGTCACATTTTTACACCAGATTGTAATGTTATTTGACATTTTACGTTCTATGGAGTTAAAAAATAATCTTACTGAAAATTATTTGGAACAGCCCGCCTTCAGGTAGAGTCCTCCTGTAAAGGTACCTCCAAAAATAGAAGCATTTTTTATACAAATCAAGCCCAAGTTTGATTTGTAAACAAAATAAAATAACAATTTAATGTAAAATTAAATCAAAGTTAAATTTTGCACAAATAATTTGTTTGACTTAAGGCCCTATTGAAATTGGAGATAATCGGTCAAAATTTAGGTATAGCTCCCATATATATTCATCCAATTTGCCCTATATTGCGCACTGAACTTGTAATATCAGCCCAAATAGTATGATTTTTAGACCTGAAAATAAGTATGCCAAATTTGATCGAAATCGGTTCAGATTATATATAGCTCCCATATATATTGTTCATCCGATTTGTTATTTTTGTCCTCCGCAGCCGTAATATGCACTCTGTAACAACAATATTTGGGGAAATATATCAAATATAACTCAGAAATACCCTTTCTAAATTTTATCGAGATCTGCTAAAATTTGGATATGGCTCAAATATATATCTTCGTCCGATTTGCCTTTTATTGTGCACCTAACGTGTAATATTAGCCCAAATCAAATATATCTATCTAATTTAAAGTTAATTGTGCACCAAATGGATAATATAAGCCCGAATTGAAAAGGCGCAAATGCCTCGACAAATTTAGTAGAAATCCATTCCTTTGGACATTTAATTATTACCATAATCATAGTTGGTATGATTTAATTCTCACAAATTCCCCATAAAACCTTTATTCGTTATGTGACGCTCTACTAAATATGCAAAGTGGTGTAGGGTATCATGAAGTCGGCCCGCCCGACTTTAAGACTTTCTTTACTTGTTATTGTTTGGTAACGTTCCCTGTCCCGTTATAAAAGGGTCAGAGCTCAGAAGAAGACGGTTAAAAAGATCTGTGTTTGTTGAAACACGAGATTTTTTTCGGATATGATTTAGTCGAAACTTTTTATATCTTTGTTTCCAGACTCCACGACCTCCTCCTAAAATTATCTAATCGTTATATTAACCAATTTATAATGTCGGGTGCATGTATTAAAATTTTATGAACTGTGAGTGGAAGATAGTGCCATGGATGTATATTCTATGTCACTATCACCATATAGCTGACAAAATTTCAGCGAAGTCACTTCAGTATATTGGGCATAACGTACACATCTGACAAAATCTGAAAGTTAAATTAGCACTTTTAGAATCTTAGGGCCATTACTAATGGCGTGAAAAAAATCACATTGGAGGATTCAGGGGCGAAAACAATTAAAACTTTAACTGAAATGTAATTTTATTTTCAAAATTAATAATAAAGGCAACTCAGAACACTCCCATCTTCTATATTATACACATATACTAAACACACAAATTACTACACTAAAAATAAGTCAATACCTTGCTTTTCAATAATAATGCCATGATTTGTCATTTTAAAATGGAATTTATTTTGTAATACAGTTCTATTTTTACTCCACTGTTTCTCTGATCCCACTGAAAAAAAGCAACTAACTACATTATCTCTTTTTTGGTGCTATTTT